CGCGGCCACGCGGAGACAGCTCACGTCCCTGCCGTGTGCACATACACAGCCCCCACGCAAACGTTCTACATAGTCACTCGTGGCGCACACGCCCCCAAGGGTGCAGTACACACCCCACAGCCACCCAAGCGCAGGAGCCTCGGAGACACGATCACGCGTGCACACAAGCACGCACACACGTGTGAGGCCAGTCTGGGGGGTACAGCCCTCTGCACACAGGCGGCCCGGCCAGGAGCCCACCCCCACGCACCCAGCCACCATTAAGCTGTCACCAGCCGCCCTTGGCCACCTCCCGCTCGCCCCACTGCCGGTATCCCCCTCCCCACCGTGGCTGGGGCTGTGGGGGTGGGGGCGTGCAGACACGTGGGGTGCAGGACACACACATGTGCCCACCATGTGGACGCTCATAAAATGGTTGCCCGGGCAACAGCGACTTGAAAACCCTCAGGGCTTCCTCTGGGGTGGGGGGGGCACCAGGGTGAGGCTGCGGCCAGGCGACACAGGAGGCTGGAGGTGGGACGCCAGCACACGCCACCACCCTTCACTGCGGCCGGAGACCCCATCACTCTCAGGCCCCCGGGAACCCTGTTGTGCTCGGGGTCAGCCCCACGTGGTCACAGGACACACATGTCCATGGCGTCCCAACACCACCGCACACTGCTGTGTCACCTCTGGACGCTGTCGCCAACCCACAGACTTTGTCACCCCCTGGACAGGCGGTGACAGACACCCTGTCGCACCGGTTGACTCACACAGCAGCTGGGAACTGGGGCGCACGCAGACACGCCCACCCTCTGGCCCCCACCCCCCTCAAAGGAGCTGTCTGGGCCCGGCTGTCTGGGAGGCCACAGGGATTCAGGGGCTGGTTCTATTTGCAGGAAACACGGGTATTTACAATGCTTTATTTTTAAACCCTCCTTCTCCCAGACTGTGGCTGCTGTGGGGCGGGGGTGGGTGGAACAGAGCCTTGAGCCTCCCCTGCTTCTAGAGCAGCCCGAGGGTTGTGCGGGACTGTGTCTCCCCAGTGCGTAAATAGGCACAGAGAAACTGAGGCTCAGTGTGGAGTAGGGGGCGTCTGTGGGCCACATGGCCACTGTGGCCGATTTGAGCCTGCTGGCCCTGGGGTCAAGGCCAAGGTAGGGGTGGGACAGCGCAGGTGCACCCAGAGCCCAGGCCTGTCACCTGTCAGCCCTCCATGGTGTTTGCCTGGAAATTAGTTCCGCTCCCTCGCTGCCTCCTCGGATGTGCCCCCACGCTCCGCCCCCACCAGGTAGCCCCAGGCAGCGCGCCAGCCCCTGCAGTGCTCTGTGCCCACTTGTCAGCTGTGAAACCTGGGCATCAGAGAGGTCAAGAGGATGGCCCAAGGTCACAGAGTAGGGAAGAGGCTCAAAGCGGGGCTGGATGATTCCAGAACATTCGGCCATGGCCCTGGCCCCTCCTTCAGCCCTGACCCCCAAGGCTGGCCTCCCTGCCCTTGCTGCACAGTCACTGCTCCCAAGGGGAGTGCTCTGTTCACTCGTGGAGGCCCAGGCAGAGCTTCTGGGAGGCCAGCGGCTGCTGGCCAAGACATGGACTTGGCCGGTGGAGAAGTTTCCATCTTAGCACCAGGAGCTGGTCCAGGCCCTGCAGGCCCCGGGCTGTACCTCAGGACCCCCAGGAACCAGCACCGCAGCGGGGGAGGTGGCCCGGAGCCCTCTGTGTCTTCTGCCTCTCCTGCACCCCGCCCCCAGTATCTCCGTATTCAACATTGCCGCACTCCACAATGAGCTGGTCACGGAGATGGCTGGGCCTCTTGGCTCGTCGGTGATGTTGCTCCCACAGCCGTTCTGTGCCCAGTGCAGACCCTCAGGGACTAGCAGTGTCGTTCTCCTGCGGAGAAGGGAAAGGGCTTGCCAGGGGTCACTGGGACAGCTCAGGAACGCCAACTGCCAGCCAAGAGTCTCCCCTAAAATGGGCTTCAGTTCTCAATTTAACATCCTGGCCCCAAGCTGGAGGATGCTGAGCAGAGAGAAGCCTCAGCCCCGACGGGAGACCCAGCCCAGGTCAGAGAGAGGGCCCCAGGGGGCAAGAGGAGCTGGTGGCCTCGGCCAGCATAGGGCCCTTGAGGCCTGTGGGCGGCGGGAAGGAGCTGGCCAGTTCCAGGCGAGGGAGGATGGGAAAAGCAGGGCCGGCGGCCGTCCCCATAGGGCCATTTGCAGCCACAGGCCACAGGTCGGGGGCCCTCTCCCTGGGGGCCCTGGGTCAGCAAGGTGGGAAAGCCATCAGGCCAGCCCAAGGGAGTCAGGGCAGCAGGGCAAGCGGCCGGGTGGTGCCTGGGCGGGGGGTTGTGGGCACATGTGAGGCAGGACAGGGGCTCACGCAGGCAGAGCCAGCCACACCCCCACACACAAAAGCCACAGATGTGTGCACACTGCCCCCCACACACACACAACCAACACAGACACACATAAACACATGCACTCAGAAACACAATTATATTCACAGGCCCCCCCCCCAAATCAGACACACTCCCCAGTCACATAGCACAGTAGATGCGTATACGCCATCACACGTGCAAAAGCCATAGACACTTACAACACACACACACACACACACGCAGCAGCCCCAGCTGCCAAGGTTCCCGGGTGCCCTGTGGCGCGCCCCCCCCCCCCACAGCACCCTGGCTCTTCCCACCCTCCGCCCAACCCTGCTGTCTCCGTCCTTGGCCTGGGGTGCCCTAATCCCTGTCTCGTGTCCTGAAGCCAGGAGATAAGGGGCAGCTGCAGCCCCAGATAAAGGAAGCGCAGCCACAAATCCGGGGTGGCCCTGGCAGAAACGGGCACCGAGCCCGGGCGGCACCTGTCCTGCTGCTGCCTCCCCATCCGGCCTGGCTGCCTGGCTGAGAGGGCCAGTGAGGGCAGCGGAGACAGAGACACAGGGAGGGAGCAGAGAGACAGAGAAGAGAGACTCAGAGGGAGAGAGGAAGGCAGAGACCAAAAGAAGCTGAGGCAGAGGGAGAGAGAGAGAGAGAGGGAGAGTACAAGCAGCGCCTTCCCCAGGCCCTGCCTCCCCCGATCTGAGTGCCTCAGTGTCCCCACTGGCACAGGGTTCCCTGGGCCACCTGCCTCCTTTCTGTTTCTCCGAATCAGTCAAGATAGGGCATTCAGAGGACGACTCAGGCCTGGTTCGGGGGGGGGGGCATCTTCCTGAGTGTCCCCACGTTCTCCAGGGTGACACCTGGGAAGTTCTCATCCCCCTGCCACAGCCTCAGTGAAGGCAGGGCCCCCTAGAGCAGGTCCTGGTCCCTCTGGGCCTCAGTCTCCCAGCCGTGGTAAGATGCACTCAGCATTCCTTGGGCACCTCTTGTGGGCTGGGCCTGGTCCTGGGTGCTGGGGACACAGAATGACTGAGGTGGACCAATTCCCACCCTCTCTGAGCTCAGTACGGTGGGGAAGATGGCATGTGGCCAGGTAGCACCAGGATGGTGAGGGCCATGATTCCCGGGGGATGTCTGGATGGCTGCCAAGGCTAAAGGGGGCCATATCCCCAGTATGGGGCAGTTAAAGAGGCTTCTGGAGGAGGAAGGTGGGGGAGGAAGAGGAGGAGGAGGAGAAGGAGAAAAAGGAGAGAACTAGAGGCTGAGTGGAGATTGGGAGCAGGGAACAGACTTCTTGCAAGAGGGAACAGCACATGCAAAGGCGGAGAGGTACAACTGCCTCATGGAACGTCTGGAATGAACTTGGTATTTGAGTTTAGGGTGTGGGGGGTGATGAGAAACGGGAAGGCAGCAGAGGCTAGGAACTGTAGGAACTTGGGGGCCGTGGTACAGGGTTGGGGCAGTAGGGAGACATGGAAGGATTGGGAGCAGGGGGAAAGCCATGGTCAGATTTGTGCCTGGGAGTCTGGGCTTTGGGGGTAGGATGGAAGATTTAGGCCCAGAAGTTGGTAGGGGTGTGATGGGAGAGGGGATGGACTAGAGAGAGATTCTGAAGGGCAAGTGGTCAGGACACAGGAACCCACAGGCTGTGGGGAGAGAGGCAGGGTGGGAAGGCTGATGCCCTGGTCTCTGGCTCAGGACGGGTCGGCAGTCCCTGGGCCAGGGACCTCTGAGATCCATGGATTCAGGTGGATTGGGGATGAATGCCTGCTCCCTCTGCACAAAGTCAGAGAGTAGAATAAGTGAGTTAATGCAAAGGGCTTAGACAAAATTGGTGCTCAACAATTGTTTAGTTACTGGTAAACAATTAATACTACACCATTATGATAAGCAATTAATATTGCATCATTGGTATTAATGTTGTCAGTGGCCAATCCACAGTCATACCCCTTTCCCCCGCTTACAGGAGGCCCTCCTTGATTGCCTCACACAGAAAATACAGGCCTTCGCAAGGCAGACCCAGGGAGCCCTTGGAGGCCCAGAGAGGGGAGGCTATGTTCAGACAGCCCTCTGCGGGCCTCAGTTTCCCCTTCTATGCAACTGCCTCCCCGGAGGGGCCTGGGTGCGGTGGGACGGTGGGGGGAAGACTCCAGGTGGAACCTCAGAGGGCAATGGGACGGGCAGTCTAGGAGGGAGGAGGGAGCTCGGGCCCCTGGAGGTGGGCAGGCACAGCCGGGCACGAAGTCTCCCAAGACTGGACGCCGCAGGTCCTCGGTTTATCCCCAGATTGTCCTATAGAGGGCAGCCGAGGCCAGCGCTGGGAGCCAGTCCGCTCCCCCGCGAGCTCTCAAGGGCAGGGTGCCGCCTGTTGTCGTCGGGGCTTGCCCGGCGTCTAGGACAGCCTCCGGCACGCAGGCTTTCAACTGTCGATAATGCCCCGCATAAAAGTGGAGTTTAAGCTTTTTTTTTTTTAAAGGCCCCGTTTTAAGGTTCTTCGAATACCCTTGTGGGTGGAACGCAGCCGGTCAGAAGAGGCACCGACTGTCTCCGTGACCCGCAAACAGCCCCGCGGTAGCAACCTTAGCGGCACCGAGGCCCCACCCCCACCCAGGCTCCGCCCCCTTACGTCGGCTCGCGAACAATGGCGTCACTTGGAGCGCCCCGGGCATGCGCGTTTCCCCAGCCCGATGGGAAGACGCTCTCGCGACCCGGAAGGCCTTCCCGCCGCTCTCCAAAGCCGGCGTGAGGGGGGCTGATGGCGGAGGGAGCGGCGGAGGCCTCAGCAGAGAGTGGTGGCGGCGGCAGCGATTCGGGAGCCAGCGCACCGGAACCGGGGGTGGCGCCCATTAAATCTCAGTGAGTCGCCGGGGCCGGAGGAGACCCTCACGAGGCCTTCCCGGCATCTACAGGCGGTGCACGCCGGGTGGCGGGGCAGCGGCCCAGGCGGGAAGCTCGCAGGCTCTTCAGTCTGGGGTGGTTCTGCACCCGCAGGGTCGGAGCGGACAGCGCACGTTGGGGGCTGTCACGTGTGCGAAGGACACCACAGTGCTTGTAGGGGCGCGCAGGGTTGGAGGCTGGGGCCCGCAGTGCATGCTGGGGACTGTAGTCCGGGCGTGTGGCGGGAGTAGCACTTGTGCACCTGCCGCTGGTCTCAGCTACGGGCAGGGACTTGGGTCTGAAGCGAGGGCCGTGGGGCATGCTGGGGAATGTGGCGACCGTGGCCCTGTTGCAAGGCATGCGGGGAGTGTAGTTTTCTCTAGCCGAAAGTGGTCGGGGATGTTCATGCTGTTTGTAGTTTGGCTGGATACTCTGGGCAGTGGGACCCAGGGACAAAATTTAGGCTCTGCCTGTGGCCTTGAGACGCGCCCCGACTGGCAGCTGGCCGCTTCTAAGTGGTGTACTCCCCATCAGCAGACGCAGCTAAACAGGGACAGGTGTTCTTGGTCCCTATCCCCAGGGACCAGGCCTGACTCAGTCACTCCCAGACCCCTCTTGCTTCAGACGTGGGCTCCCTTGCGTCTGAGCCGGAGAAGGGGTTCCTTCCACAAGCACTCTTCCCGCTGCCTGTCTGCTGGCAGATATCTCACCACCAAGGAGCAGTTCCACGAATTCCTGGAAGCCAAGGGGCAGGAGAAGCCCAGCCAGGGAGTCGAGGCAGGAGACCCTGGTGGCAATGACCTGGCCGAACCTGAGGCCAAGCGCATCCGACTGGAGGATGGGGAGGCGGGGGAGGCGGCAGAACCCGGGGACAAGCCAAAGGTTCAGAAGAGAGCCCGGGGCCAGAACAAAGGCCGGCCCCACATGAAACCCACCCACTACGACAAGAATAGGCTCTGCCCCTCCCTGGTCCAGGTGAGTGTAATTGTTGCTGGAAAGTCCTCGAGACCTTCCGTCTGAGCCTCTCCGCTCCCCATTCAATCCTCCGGAAGCTGGGACGTTAAGTGTTGTTGTCCCCATCTTGTTCCTGAGTAAACTCAGGCTTGATGGGTTCCTGACTTGCCCCGGGACACCCACCAGGAGGGGAGGGCCTCTCACCCAGGCTGCCTGGCTGGCCCGGCGTGCCCCCATCATTCCTCGTGGCCTCTTGGTTCCCACGCAGGAATCAGCAGCAAAGTGTTTGTTTGGTGACCGCTGCCGCTTCCTGCACGACGTGGGCCGCTACCTGGAGACCAAGCCTTCGGACCTGGGCCCCCGCTGTGTGCTTTTTGAGACCTTCGGCAGGTGCCCCTATGGCGTGACCTGCCGCTTCGCCGGGGCCCATTTGGGACCCGAAGGCCAGAACCTCGTGCGGGAAGAGCGGGTCCAGGTCCCGCCGGTCCGCAACGGCCTGGACAAGGCCCTGCAGCAGCAGCTGCGAAAGCGCAAGGTCCGCTTCGAGCGCGCCGAGCAGGCCCTCCACCAGCTGAGCAAGGGCCACCTGCCAGGCCCCTCCCCGGAGGCCGCGGTCCCCGACGTCTCGGGGGCTGAAGGTGCCCCTGGACAGGACAGCGGTGACACCCAGCAGGCCCTCCTGGAGCCAGACACTGATGCCCCAGCCAGCGGCTCGGAGTGGACCTGTGGACCCCTGACAGATGAGGATATAGTCCGGCTACGGCCTTGTGAGAAGAGAAAGGTACATGTTCGGGGCTTCCTGCTGAGGGTGCTGGGAGCGTGGGGGCAGAAGGAGCCAGACACACACCCCCAGCCCCAGAGAGTCGGGGCTGGCGGGGAGGGAAAGGAGGAGGGAGGGGAAGACTTCCTGGAAGAAGGGGCATCAGGCCTGCGGTTTTGACGGTTGGGCAGAGACTGCAGCAGAGTGAAAACGGGAACAGAATGGTCTTCGCACAGGGATCCATTGACTCGTGCGGAGGCCCAGAGGAGGACTGCGGGCGGGGTGGGGAGCAGGGAGCTCCAGAGGCCTGACGAGCTCCCCTGGGTTTTGTTTTGCTGAAGCTGGACCTCAGCGGCAAGCTGTACCTGGCCCCCCTCACCACGGTAGGTCAGCCCGGCAGGGCCCTGTGTCTGCCCATCTGGTGGGTTTTGGGGCTGCGGTCGGCATCCGGGGTTCCTGCCTGCTGCCCCTCACATGTGCCCATGGCCCCCACGGCCCCCAGTGTGGGAACCTGCCCTTCCGGCGGATCTGCAAACGCTTCGGGGCTGACGTGACGTGTGGGGAGATGGCTGTGTGCACCAACCTGCTGCAGGGCCAGACATCTGAGTGGGCCCTGCTCAGACGCCACCCCTGTGAGGATGTCTTTGGCGTGCAGGTCAGTGCCGCCCCACGGGGAGGGGGGCGGGAAGGACAGAGGGGCTCTCGGCTGGCTGCCTCGCTCTACGGCAGGTTCGGGGTTGGATCTCCCTGACCGCAGGCCTGATTCAGTCACTCCCAGACCCCTCTAGCCTCAGCCATGGGCTCAAGGGCTGACCCGATGGCCCTTTGCGGGTTGGTGAGACAGGGCCCCTGGCTGGATCCCCACGGTGGGCAGGGCCAGCCTGGGCCAGCCCCTCACTTCCTGCTCCGCCCCCGGCCACAGCTTGAGGGCGCCTTCCCTGACACCATGACCAAGTGCGCCGAGCTGCTCAACCGCACCGTGGACGTGGACTTCGTGGACATCAACGTCGGGTGCCCCATCGACCTCGTGTACAAGAAGGTAGTAGCTGCGCAGCCCTTGATTTCCATGGTGTGTGGGGGGGAATGGGAGCCTGGGACCTGGCCTTGTTTTTGCCTGAGTGTCTGGGGGACTCATGGGCGCTGCTGCGCCTTGGTTTCCCCCATTTGGCTGGCCCAGGCAGAGAAGGGTGGCAGGCCCAGCTCGCATTCTGCTGTCCCTTGCTCCAGCCCCCCATCTCTCCCAGGGCGGGGGCTGTGCCCTCATGAACCGCACGGCCAAGTTCCAGCAGATTGTCCGCGGCATGAACCAGGTACGCCCTCTGCCCCCCCCCACCCCCGCCCCAGCCAGCCCAGGTCCCGCTGACCGCTGCCGCCCTCCCCGCAGGTGCTGGACGTGCCGCTGACCGTGAAGATCCGCACCGGCGTCCAGGAGCGCATGAACCTGGCCCACCGCTTGCTCCCTGAGCTGCGGGACTGGGGCGCGGCCCTGGTCACGGTGGGTCTTGGGGCACGGAGGGCATGGGGGCCCCCACCGGAGCGCTGTGGGCGGACCTTCCTAACAGTCTCTCTCTCCCCGTTCCTTCCTCCTGCTCTCTGGCTCTCCTTCCATCTCTGTCTCCGTCTGTCTCTTCATCTCTCTGTCTCTCTCTCTCAGCCTGTCCCTCTTGATGTCTCTGGGTCTCTCTCTCTGTGTCTGATCCTCCGCCCCCGGACCGGCTCTCCCTCCCCGCGCATGGCTTCTCCTTCAGCTCCACGGCCGCTCCCGGGAGCAGCGCTACACCAAGCTGGCCGACTGGGGGTACATCGCGCAGTGTGTGACAGCAGCCAGCCCCATGCCGCTGTTCGGTGGGTCCCCCGCCCCCGCCTGGGACCCTGCCCTCCCCGCGTGGGCATTACTGGGCTGCCGGAAGCTCCCCCAGAGCTCCCGCCTGCCCCCGGCTCCCTGAGACCCCGCCTCTGTCCCTCAGGAAACGGGGACATCTTGTCATACGAGGATGCCAACCGTGCCATGCAGACTGGCGTCGCGGGGGTGATGATCGCTCGGTAAGGGAGCTCTGTGCCTGGGGGGCTGCGAAGAACCAGCCGGAGCTGCCCCCTGCCTCCCTCCCCTCCTCCCTGCTCAGTGTAGCTGGCAGGTGGCTCTGCGGGGGGGCGGGGGGCGGGCAGCGGACATCTGTGCTCTCGGGTGTTGGAACTCTTGGGCGTTGAAGGTTGGCTGAGCCTGGTGGAGAGGCAGGGCCCCGGAGCCCTCCAGACCACCGCTCCCTACCCCACTCCCAGGGGTGCCCTGTTGAAGCCGTGGCTGTTCACGGAGATCAAGGAGCAGCGGCACTGGGACATCTCGTCGTCTGAGCGCATGGCCATCCTGCAGGACTTCACGCGTTACGGCCTGGAGCACTGGGGCTCGGACACGCAGGGCGTGGAGAAGACCCGCCGTTTCCTCCTCGAGTGGCTGTCCTTCCTGTGCCGGTGGGTGCAGGGCCACGTGCAGACTGGGGGGGGGTCCCGTGGGGGGGGTCCAGCCTGGCCTCACCCATTCACGCTGCCTGCAGGTACGTGCCCGTGGGCCTCCTGGAGCGGCTCCCACAGAGGATCAACGAGCGGCCGCCCTACTACCTGGGCCGCGACTACCTGGAGACGCTCATGGCCAGCCAGAAGGCAGCTGACTGGATTCGGATCAGGTGCCAGGAACGCGAGGCGCTGGGCTGTGGGAGGCCGAGGGGCCCCTGGACCGCAGGCCTGACCCCGCCCTGTGCCCTCTTCACAGTGAGATGCTGCTGGGACCCGTGCCGCCCAACTTCGTCTTTCTGCCGAAGCATAAGGCCAATGCGTACAAGTAGCCACGGGCTGGGGAGGGCGTCGGATGGCCCAGCGGGTCCCCCTGCTGCATGAGAAGACAATAAATCTTATTCTTTTAAAACCCAGGCCTTTCTGTGACCCCAAGGCTTCCCCGTCCCACTCTGGGGTTTTGTCTCAATGCAGGGCTGACCCTCTCCCCAGCATGCACTTGTCCTTTCTCATTGACAAGAGTCTCCTAGTCGCCCCCATGGGCCCAGCCCTGTGCTGGCCACCACGGCTCCCCAGAGCGGCTTTACCCACCAAGAAAGCGCTAGGCACTCACGAGGCAGGGGCCTTGGCCTACGCAGGTGTGGATCAGGGCGGGCTACCTGGAGGAAGGAGCTGTGGAGATGCCCAGAGCATGGAGGCAAAGGCAGAAGGCAGCAGACAGAGTTCGGGGTCTGCCCCGCTTTTTGTGAGGCCGGTCCTCCGACTCCCTTGGTTTCTCCATCTGCCCCCTGCCCCCCCACCCCCCGATACCCGGAATCCCGACCAGTGGGCGGGCCACAGCCTGGAACCCGCTGCCCAGAGTAACCAGGCAAACAGAACTCGGCAGGACTGAGCCTGCTGTCCGGGCGGGCTGCCTGTGCTCCCGCCTGCTGCCCCCCTGGCCTGCCCAGGCTGGCCCCCCTGCCTCCCCATGCAGCACCCCAAACCCTTCTATGCGCCTACAGCTCCCCAAGAAGGCTTCAGCCCCCGGGGCCTGGATGGCACCGAGGGGTCAGGCAGCCAGCCTGCTCCCGCCTGCACAGAGCCTCTTCCTGCTGTGGGTACGAGTCAGAGGCTGTCGGGTGTGGTGGGTGTCGGGGTCCCCAAGGGGGTGGGGGACCAGGGCTCAGGACCCTGCCCAGCCACCTGCTTTTGTCCACAGGCTCCTCCAACCTCTATCAGCCCCCAAACCCGGAGAAAGAGGTGTTTCCAGGCCCTCCGGCAGGTACCAGCCTCCCCGCAACCCTTGATGAAGATTCGGGGGTGGGCTGGAGGGGTCGGGGCCTGTCCTGCCCATGCCCCTGGCCCTAGGTGGCCGCCAAAAGGTAAGGCCTATGTCTCTGGTCCCTCAAGTAGGCCTTCAGGGGCAAAGCCTATGCCGATCGCTCCCCGGACAGGTCCCCAAAACAATACCTGGGTTCCCGACTCCCAGATGGGTCCCCAAAAGCAGGATCTCTGTCCCCATTCCTCAGATGGACCCCCAGGCCAGGTGTCTATCCCCTGCCCCACAGATGGGCCCCCGGGGTTTGGGCTGTGCCCCTCCCCTCCTCTAGCCTGTACTCCTTGCCCCAGGTGGGTGACAGAGCTCCTCTCAGGGCTGCCCCTCCCTGGCCTGCAGGTTTCCAGATGGCACCCTGCGGGTGCTTCTTTGACCCCCGCATCTACCGAATCGAGTGGGCCACCACCGACTTCGGCCAGTCGTCCCTGTACAAGCTGACGGCAGTGGGCGGTGGGGGACCCACCGGGGGTCCGGCTGGGGGTCCCGCCTCTCCAGGCACCTACCTCCTAGAGCCCCAGCACTACCTCAAGGCCCCCGTGCCGGCCCCACCGCCCCCGCCATACCCGCACTACCAGCCGCTGCCTGGGGGCCCCCAGTACCTCATGCCCTACTTCCCCCCCGAGGGGCCTGGGCCAGAGGCTCTGGGCTTTGTGGGCGACGGGGGGCCCCCCGCCTACATGGAACTGCCCCCGCCCCTGCTCAAGGAAGGCCTGGGGCCAGCCGTGCCGCCACCCCCGGCCCCGCCCCCACCCCCTGTCCCCAAGGAGAACAAGCTGCCTCCCTTGCTCATCACGCTCCCCACGGAGGCCGCGTTGCCCCCTGGCGCCTACAGCCACCTCAAGGGCCGCCTCAGTCAGTTCCACGGGCCCAGCGAGCCGCTGGCCTTCCCCTCCAAGGAGCTGCCGGGTGGTGGCGCTGGGCCGGCCCTACTGTACCCGCCGGGCCCCGGGGAGCCCAAGGTGGCGGAGGCGGAGGCGGCCCCCCTGGGGGCAGGGGAGGCCAGGACCCCCGAGGCAGCCAGGGCCTTCGTGCTGCCTGAGAAGGTGCTTCTGGAAGACGCCATGAAGCTCTTCGACTGCTTGCCGGGCAACGCTGAGCCCGAGGGGTCCCCACGCAAGGCCCCTGGGCCAGCCCTGCCGGACAGCGGGGGCGGCGGGGACGACTCATCCAGTGACATCCGCTCGCTGCACCTGCCGGACGAACTGCTGTCCTTTGACTACAGTGTGCCTGAGATCCTGGACACCGTGTCTAACGTGGACTACTTCTTCAACTTCAAGGCCTTGGATGAGGAGCCACCACCCCGCCCGGGGCCCCCTGTCGCCAACACCGAGGCCCCCGCCGCACGACCCGAGCTGCCTGGCAAGAGGAAGGCCGGCACCTCGTCCGCCAAGAAGGGCAGGCAGGGGGGCAAGGGCAAGCAGGCTGCGGGCCTGGCCAGTGTCGCCCCCTCAGGGCCCAGGCAGGACCTGGGAGCCGCCCCCCATTAAAATGGATTTGATCTCTCAGCTCACTGTCAGCTTGGTGGCATCGGGGCCTGGGGACAGCAGGCTGACGCTGGACGTGGAGGACGGTCCCCTCCTGCACCGTCGCAGCGGGCCCGGGGTCACATGGGAAGGCCCAGCAGGCCCACGGCACCTCCCGGGTGAGCCGGGCAGCCCTACCATCCCGAGGAGTCCTAAATCCCTCCTTTCCACACCCCAGAAAGTTGGGAGTCCGCCAGCAGAGATGGAGAAGGGGGGCTTCTGCAAGGTGGGGAGACGCTGTCCGGACTGCACTCTAAGGATCTTTCGCCCAGGTGTTTGGTGGGGAAAGGGTTGCCGAGAGGGCCAGGAAGTGGCCTGGGGATGAGGCCTACCCTCCCCCACACCCCTACCCCAGTCTGCTTCTCTCCCCCTGCAGAGGACCAAGGGGCCCTCCCGCCCCAGGCCCTGGGCTGGGTCCCTGGGGCCTTCGTGCTCGGACTCTGCTGGGGTAGAGCCCCGGGGGTGGCTGGGTGTGGGGTGGCAGAGTCGGTAGCTGGAACCCAGGACTTCCTGTCTGCCGAGCACTGCGCCAGGAGCCTGCTGGGCTCACCTCATCGCGCCCTCTTTCCAGAGCTCCGGAGAGACGGCGCAGTCTGCCCCGCCCGGTCCTGTTCTGTGCCTGGCTAGGGGAGCCTGGAGTCCGCCGCCCTTCACTTCCTGCCGAGCTCCCCTCTCCCCACGGCCACGTTCAGGGTATTTTTGAGATTAAAGCCAAGTGCGCTTGACGAAGGGAAGGCCCTGGCAAAAGACGTTGGCAAATGGGCTTGGTTTCCTCGAAGGTCAATGCGAACGTGAGCGCTCGGCCTAACATGGAGAGTGGCCGCCGTCATGCTCACCGGGCAGGGTGGGCTCCCTGCACCGTCAAGGTCACGCTTCCATGACCGGACTGAGACGGGACTGGGCCACGAGGCGGACTGTGGAATATACCCGCTGAACCTCAGAAGAATCAGGAAACTCACAGGACCACCCAAGTTCTCCCTTGGGGTGAGCTGGCCGTCCGTGCCACCTGGGAGTCAGAGGTGTTGGGAGGGGAGGGAACCCCCCCGGAGGGCTAGGGAGAGTGCACACGGCTGTGTACATTGTGTATACATGCACACACGTGCATAGACACGTGCACGTTTGTGTATACGTGCTGTGTGTGCAGGTCTGTGTATCTGTAGATGTGTAGACGCATACACACGTGTTCATGTCCTGGGTAAACACGTGTGACTGTACACACGTTGGGGATGCACGCACACACATGTATCCACACCACCAAACACCCGTGTGTGTGTCCCTGCACACTATGCCTGTGCACCTTGCCCAGGCACACCCGTGTACATGTGTGCGCGGGCATGCCTGCGTCTATGTCATAGGCACGTGTCCGTACGTGTGCGCGCACATGACATCATGCTTCCAAACATTCCTCCGGGGACACAGCAGAGCACACACATGCGTGTTTGTATACACGGGAGGGTTTATGCCCCAGAAACGGACTCCCAGCAGTTGCTGCCTCCTCCAGACTCCCCCGTGCCCCCTCTAACGGGCCACGGGGCTACGTCTTCGGTCTTTCAGGGGACCGCCTCTCTCTCTGTGGGGTGCTCCGCTCCCTCACCTCCCCCGCGTCCCGTCAAGGCTCTGGGCTACCCCACTCCCGGCGCAGGTGCCGCAGGGCAGGGGAGCTGCGACAGGAGGATGGAAGGTGGTGGGGGGAGGACACAACACGATCCGGACACGCGGCACGAACACCACCACCAGCCGCTTTATAGAACGCTTTAAGGCCACGAGGGGCTTCCCCGGTGCACTTAGCACCTGCCTCGGAAACACGCACAGGCCTTTCGGCACCTCCTGCACAGATGAATCCAGAAGCCCTTGAACTTGAGGCCCTTCTCCGTGTGCAGCAGTTTGGGGATGGCGTAGGCCAGCCACACGGACAGCAGCATGACCACCACGAGCGGGATGATCGTGACCGCCGCCAGGATGACAGACAGGGGGAAGGCGCCGTACACGTAGATGCTGAAGGTGGTCTCCAAGTGACAGTAGCTGCAAGGGGCGGGTGGAGAGAGGCCATGGGGCGTTGCCCCATGGGGCCCTGCCCTTCGCCCCATTGAACGTGCTAAAACCCACAGAAAGGAGTCCTGGGCCCCGGGTGCTGAGCTGGGACGCCTGGTTCCACTTCCATCCATTTCAGCTCTTCTCCAGGCTGAGTCTGCTGTCCTCTCTGTGCCGGCAACAGTCCTGTCCTCCCCCTGGTTTCCTGTGGTCCCCTCCTCCTCCGGGGACCAGTTGTCTCCCTGACTCCATGCCCACACTCAGTCTAGAGAGGCGAACTAACCATCCTGTTCCCTAGTGGAAGCAGAGGGCGGGCATGATGGGGCCACAGGTGTGCACGAGGTGGGCAGGGAGTGCCAGGGTGCAGCAGGCCGGGAGGGAAGGGCACCCCAGGAGACGGGACCCAGGGTAAAGGAGAACTCGCTGGACCCACAGTGCGGACAGAGGAGCGGATGGGACCAAAGGCAGTCCTGTCTCTCTAGATAAGCCACCCCGTCCTCCCGCCCGTTGGCCATCCCAGAGCTGGCCCCCTAGATCAAGGCACGGGGTCTCAAGGCAAGATCTCCATGTACTTTGGGGAGTGGAGTTCCTATCTGTCTAGAGAGGTTAGATGATGGGGGGGGGAAGGATATTGTCCCGTACGCACGCCCACAGTGGGAGATGTTGGCAACCTAGGCCAGCACACCTAGAAACCTCTTCGCACACATGGGTAGTAAATATTCAACAACCAGCTCTAAGGGGAAAGGCTGAATTTGTAGGGTGTGCCGAATCCCATGGTGTAAATTCTCCCA